AAGTGCATCGCTACTAGTAACAGGTGCCTTACTACTAGTAACAAGAAGCTATTAGTAACAAGTGCCTTACTAGTAGTAACAAGAAGCTACTAGAAACAAGTGCATCGCTACTAGTAACAGGTGCATCGCTTGTAGTAACAAGTCTCGGACCTTCGCCCTTTCGCCGACTGAGTTTTCAATGATGCGATCCAAATCCGTCTGCTCCGCAGGCATGGTGTTGAACGGGAAATGCCCCGAAAGCAGCACAAAGAGGAGAATCTGAGCAAAGAGAATGAAGAAAAGCAGAATGCCTCCACATGAACACAACCTGAGCATAGGCTAAGGAACTAATTATGCAAATTAAAAAAAATAAACTGCAGCGAAGAACCCCAAGGCACCAAACATCAGCGCTGAAGTTGTGTGAGCCTTCGCCTTGGTGTTTGCCAGCCGTCAAGGAACAGTGTCACACTGTGGAAGAGTGCTCCTACAGGCCACATCCCCATCCTGGCCACAACATGCGTCAAGCTACCCAACACCTCCGGCGCGCAGTACGGGTGAGTCCCGACAGTTGACTGTGCAACAGAAGCAGTATCCAGCAGACCTGAGACGGACACACAGTGCGCGAAAAACGGCAAACACAGTGAAGGCCAAGCGCGGGCAAAGGTGCGAGAAAGTCCAAAGTCAGTAATCTTAACCTGCAAAACGTGCCAGGTTTGCCAAATGCGACGACAAAACGTGTCACGATAGGTTGAGCCATAAATGTCATTGTCATTCAAACGCGGTCAAGCCACGCTATAAAGAATGGGACCGCTTGTGTACGCTCGTCTTTGGGAGGCCACAAGCACATTCTCCAGTTTCACATCTCTATGGACAACACCTGAGCAAGCGAAGCGAAACTTCTATATAAACCTTCCTATTGGTTGTTCAAGTTGTGTTTCCGTGCGCTTTTTGGAATCAAACGTTGTCATCCTATGGATGGGCAGGAGGCAAACGCATACGATTTTCCGTGTTAATAAAGCTTGTTTGGATGCTCAAAACGTCCTGCAAGTGGTTCCTTACGAGGCCTTTCCTACCTGCTATGCAGGCTGCTAGTATGCCTAAATGGTCTTGCATTCGTCACGAAGGGCGACGCAAAGCCCGACTCACAGTCTTCACACTCAACACTACAAAACCCTTTGGTGCAACGTGCGGGCACAGGTTACACCCAGTTTTCTATAGTTTTCTATCAGATCCCGCCTCGGCCATGAAGGAAGGCAAGGCCTTGAGCCAACTGACCGCCAACAAAGGCCGCTTCTCGATCCAGGAACCTTGACGATGGCCGCGATGTCAAAACCTCAAGGGACGAAGGAACCACAACCCAAGTCTGAGCGCAAACAACAAGTGACAAAACTTAATTCAAACAAAAGAAGAAAAACGTGTCTAAATCGCTTGCTGAGATGCGGTGAACAGGTCGCCTCCACCAACCAGCTCCAAAACCATCAAGAACCAGCCTCCTTCTTGGAAGGAATCAACCAGCCTTATGAGCCGCTTACCAGCCCAGCACATCTACGCCACACTCCGCACCGCAACCCCATCAACCGACAATAACGGAACAAACTACGGCTGGTAGTCAGCAAATCCCGCCACCCATCAATGTCCGAGAATTACTCTCAATTTTTCACCAAGAATCTGGACGATATTTGGATGTGCGGGCAGCTGCTTCCAAATCTCAACCTATTCATCCATGAGTCCATGAGTGTTTCGGCAAGTTTTCAGAATCATAAAGACATGTTCCAAACAATTCGCCTCACGACATAACTTCTTCCACTCCCTCTCCACGTCTGGACTCATCTGTAGCCGACGCAGATTGACAGCTTTGGCAGCAAAACCAACTTGGCTGCCTGTTTTGCCTCATGTCATATGGTCTGGTCTCAGTCAAATACCCTGTAGGATCACACGAATTGCACAAAGCATGCTTGGGCCATGGCTGCAAACAAAAACTTGGCTAGATCCTCCTTGGCCTAGTTCTCGGCCACGGCGGTACCCATGGAAACTCAGCGGGGGAACCCCAGCTGGAAGATTCACTTCAGCGACCTTGGCGTACCAGAGTCACATCCACATTGCCACAAATATGCAAACATGTGATTGAGATCAACTCCCCTTCGCGTCCTCAATGCGCAACCTTAAATCTTGGACTACTTGGAACCCTGTTTAGTAAGGCCTGTAGGGATTCTCCAAGGTATTGAAAAGCCAGTAGCCAGTGCCCCCTTCCAATTCAAGATTGGCGCCAAGAAACTTCATCCGCATCGTCACCTTGAAGCATGTGGTGAGATATATCAAGGGATACAATGGCGGACTGCACGGGTCAATGCAAACCAAGATGCTATCAACAGTGATGTCCACAACTTCAGCCACATCGCTGTCACTATCAGCAATGACATCAACAGAAGCAGGCATGCCTCACAGGGAAAAAAACGCACCCAACTGGGCAAACAAGTTTGGAGGACTTCGATACTGCAACTCATAGTGTAAGGCTTTGGCAGGGCTGAACTTATTGCACGGACTGCAGCCATCAGGTCAAACTGCAGTAATTGAAACAACCCAACAAAGAAAACGTGAACATCGACTATGCACAGTCTGTTCCACCGCAGTGTGCGGAAATGAAAGGACATGATCTTCAAACTGGTTTCGTGATATGTTGTTGGAAGTGCGTGAGATGTTTGTATCGAACATAAATAACATGATAAATAATCATGTTGTTGTTTTGAATGGAATTGCCATTGGCATTGTCCAGAGGCCCGGTGTGCACGATGAAGTGGCATATCATATCACCTAACACTTGTGAGCCTCACAGCCGCGCTTCGTTGCCCATTGAAGCAAAAATCACCCAACAACGTCAGTTTCACCAATAACAAGGCTCTATGCAAACAACCTGGCAACTTCAACGCCGGCTTCTGTCTTGGTTTGATGCCCTTTTGTGCGTTTAACGGGGCAGGGTCGCAGCAACATGGTCCACCGGTGTAGCATTTGCAAGAGCCGTGCAACATCCAGCTGCCAGCTCCAACTGAAACTCTTATACAGCGCTCCGTAACTCCGTAATTCGATTCAAGCACCTCAACAATTTTGAGCCGACCCTGCTTGAGCACCCAGAACTTCTTGGATTGTTTCCGAAACCTTTCTTCACACAAAGCACACATGAAACCACAACAAACATGTCGGCGGATGGCTAGTGCGCGAACACTGCCGAACACCTCCACACACCAATGTTTTCCATCAGTCGACAACCAGTACCCCCATTACGCATAGGCTATCTGCAAAAAAGGCGTTTTTCATCTTCAAAATTCAATTCTCGCACGCATTCATCATTGAAGACTCAAAAGATGTTGACACCCACGCAGCTCTCTTGTTTTCACACATTGGGGAAGTCCAGGGCTTCAGTCTGCACCCCGCTCCCCGCTGGCAAATCCAAGACTTCAGTCTGCGTTCCCCTCTGAATTGTAGGGTGGGTGCAAGAATATTGGTACAAGGAATCAATATCCACACCATCGGTCGTACTCCATGACAGCACGCTCCAAATGAATTGAAATAGCATAGATACGCTGGGTGAGACCCCTGTCTAATCCAACACAAGTTTGTCTGGCACTCAAAAGTCGGTTAGGCCAGGTGTGCCCCAGTCAAAAGTACCCACATCATCATGGAGCTCATCCAGGTGATCAAGGCAAATCAAACGCGTTCACAGACAGCAACGTAGCGCTGGAGCAATTGAAACTGCGCAAGAAACTGCTGCGTGGGTGGAGGGCGGGCCAAGAAAAATCGGAAGGATTCGCATGGAGGACAACAAGCGCCTGGGAGCGGTGGCCCTGCTGCGGGACGTTCCAAATGCGGTGGCCCACGTGCGGTTTACTGGGGAGAATGGCCTGCACGAGGCGTCGAAAGCTTAGCAAGGTGGAGAGGCTCCGGAATAGTTGCTGGATTCACGCTGGAGCGGCGTTCCTGGACACCATCGAGGATACCTTCAAGGAGGTCATGGAGAAGTTCCAGGGCATGCTTCAGAAGAATGAGATCTACCCAATGATGGAAGGCACAGGGGAATGGTCTGAAGTGTTCAGGTCCATTTTGCTGGAAGGAGCGACCTCCCAGCACATCGACAATGAGATGGACAAAAAGGATGACGAGGAGAAGTCACCGATTACTTTGACTCAGGCTTTGGCCCCGCAAGATGAAGAGTTCAAGGCTGCGGTGGCTGAGCTATGTCATGAGGGGGCTAGGAAATTTTACCCGTACCCAGCCTGCAAAACAAATACTTGCAAGTCATTCGCAGGGAATTCGGAGCCGAGCCTGAGTTGGTTATAGAGCTAAGTGGATTGGTTGAACGTTTTGACATGGCCACTGAGCATGAAGCCGAAGGTTGGTTGGTCCCTACGGCTCCTCTCAAAAAAACCATGCGCAAAAACCGAAACCTTTTGGCAGTAAGGGCTATTCACGCTCCCGTGAAGCTCAGGCGGCTCGAGTCATAAAGGAATTTTGAAGGAATGTGAATTCCATTTCTCATGACTCGAACCCTTTTCATGATTGGCCATATAGGCCCAAGCACCTTCGAGGTCGACAGAGTTTCGACATGGCGATGTGACTTGGTGCCTGAGCAGGTGAAAGAGGCGCTTCACTTGCCGCAGGGGCGGCATCGGTGACAGGGTGACCAATCTCTTTAATTATACAAGGATAGACCCCAAACAGTTTCAAAACGATTGATTCGCTTAGACCAATATCAATCAAAAATTGATTTCTTGGTACGCCCTACCTTCACCCCAAGAGCAAACTGTTTCATCAGTGAATTGTTGTTGGGATTGACATCGCTATTTGTTCGGCCACACTCCACAGAGACCAGCCACAGAGTTCAGGGGCGCGGCCAAAGAGTTCAGGGCCACAGAGTTCAGGGGCGCGGCCAGTGCGTGTGGCCAGCTCTTTTTTTCTAAGATAAAACCCCAACAGTAAACTGTTTGGGGAAAAAGTAAAAGACAGGTTGTTGAACGCTGCTCCCAGAGGTCTTGTTTCCCTTCGCTGATGCAAGTTTCAGTGAAACGGTGTTTGGAGCTGCGTGCGTGTCAGCGTCACTTGAGTTTTCTTTGGTGATTATGAATTGTGAAGATGAAATACTCAATGCAGCCGACGTAGTTGACAAAGAACTTGTTTAAACGAAACGTGTTTGTGACAAGATGTCTTGGAATGATGTTGATTCAATTCGATTGTCGCTTGGAAACAATGTGCAATCACTTGCAGTTGTGCTTGAAAGGGAGTGGGGGGCGCGAACCTTCTTCGGTTTGCGCTCTTGCCTCCCCACTTTCAGAACCACTGGCGTCTGGCAGGGAGAATCCTAGCTGGACGGGCGGGAGGGCAAATGGGCGTGCCCGAGCTAACTTGTGGATTTGTTGAAGGCCCCTTCAGACATACCGCTACTTTGTCTCCTTGGTCGCGGTCTTGCATTCAGAGCTATCCGAGCTGCTCGATGATCAAGGGATTGGAGAACCGCTTCTCTAGCCTTCTGCCTCCTCCGAAAAGAGAATGATGCAATAATTGTGTCCTCTAGTGTTGCTAACTGGGGTTCGGGTCGGCATCTATCATCCCCGGGTATTCAGGATCCCGCCCAAAGACCATCTAATTTGGCCTGCAACCCCCTCGTCGCATGAATTGATTCATGGACTCGGCAACACAGTCAACACATTCCAACCGCTGTTTGTAATCTTCCGATGACTTTGGCCAACATGGCTGCAAAGTGTCTCCCTTGGACCTCAACATCCCCAAGTTGTTCATGAGCCTCACCCGGGATGTCCAAAGGGGTCGCGCCGCCCCGTTCCAGCACATCCAAAAACGGTTGCCCAAGATTGGACCTGCTAGCATCGAACTTGACATACCGAGGTCTTCCGAAAGCTCGAGTCCACATCCGGCACTCCGTCTCTCGAACATGGAGCATCTGCTGAAACCCCGAGGCACGACAAACAATGTTGAGTGGTTTGATTTGCATGTCCTTCTTCCAAGTTGGTAACCATTTCACATCCAAACCGACGTACCGGAGAGGTGCCAGGTCTCTTGGGACTGCGCTGTCCTTTACCGCTTTCGGTAGCTTCCGTGCGTCAGACAGGTCACACTGGAAGCCCTTAACGATCTCCAAAATCTCCGGACGAGCTCCATGATGTCTCAAAATCCTTGTCGTGTCCTCTACTCCGTGCATCTTTCTATCCTCCTGACTGCATTGTGGATCTTGTCTTTGGACGTCTTACTCAACTCTGGACTCTCTTCCTGGATGTCTGCTTGACTGATTGGGCAGCAAAGACTCTCAAACTTCTCATTACATGCTGTTCCGCCTGGATGAGTTTCTTGGGACACACCTGAGTCTGAATAGACCTTAACAGTCCTCTGGACTGGCCTTCGACTACTTGGTGCTCGTGATCTTGAGTGCAGTGAAGGCGATCCAGCATGGCCACTGTCCTTAGGGCATTTGTGAGGAACCCCCACTTCTTGCCAAAGAGCTTGCCGTGGACAACCGAACTGGGAGTCAACTGGCAGAGGAACCAGAAGCTGAACTGTCGGAAGGGGAAGAGATCGGAACCCATGTGCTTGGATCCCGTGAGCAAAAAGATCGATACAAGCTGGGATGACGGAAGTGCTAGTGGCTCATCAGCACGCATGGCCGTCGTGTGTGGAGATCTTCTGCCCAGGGCGCTTTGGAGAGAAGGCGCAGATGTTCGGCGTCCGTGACCCCAAGGCCTTCGATCTGTTCATGGGATGGGGCTGGAGGCGGGTGGTAGATCGAGCCGCTGCATGGAAATGTCTGGAGGAGGAAGACACTGACATTGTGATCACGAGCCCACCATGATGTGGTCCGCTATCGAATCTTCAGCCATATGGCAACGACAGGATTTGGCTCTGTTCAACATGTTGATCGTGGAAGCCACGGCGATGGTAGCCTGGTGGCCTGGTTGCGCCCGCATCGCGAAGGACCGTATGCGGAAGGGTCGCCTGTTTCTCTTTGAATCAGCATGGAGAGAGCCTGCTCTGAGACTACAAGACTTGGCGGGACATGATGACATCCGCTCCATCCATTTCCACATTCATGATGTCCGGGTCCGTCTCGGTGTTCTCCATCATGATGCTGTTGGCACCGTCCTCCTCTTCCATCTCTCCATCGGGCTGGTCCCCTGTCGCAGGTGACCAATTTGGATCCAGCTCATATGGTTCTTCTTCATCTTCATCCTCTATGATCGGCTACTCTCCTGCCTGGAGGACTTCCACTTCCTGATCCTTCACCTTGGGTGGCCTTTCCATATCCACCAGGTTGATCTGGTAACTTCCATCCCGTTGCTCGAGGAGAGGAATGGTGATTTGCGCGTTGTTCAACATCATCTCTCCTCGATGAAGATCCATGACCGCCCTGAGTGCTTTCAAGAACCTTTTGGAGATCAGCATTGGCACCGAGCCTTTGGCCACGTGCACCCTCAGCCATATAGTTTGATGCCCGTCAGGAAAATCGGTATCTGGACGGTGCGATGCGATGTGTCCGCTGCTCCGCTCCCGTAGCGGAAATGATGTGGTCGATGCTCCAGGTCCTTGATCTCAACCAGGA